CCTTCTGAGTCTCTGGAATTATAGGTATGCACCACTGCACCTGGTTACATGAAGCTTTTTCTGTATCTCTTGAGGTCATCATGTGGCTTTTCTTCCTTAAAACATTAGTTTGATGAACTGTATTTAATGGTTCTTAAATATTGAATTATCCTTATTTTCCCAGAATACACCCCACTTGGCCAAGATATATATGTTACTGGGTTTGATTTGCTAATATTTTTTCAGAGATTTTGTTTGTTTTTGTGGTACTAGGGATTAAACTCAGTGGCGCTCTGTCACTAAATATATCACCAGCCTTTTAAAATTTATTTTTTATTTCAGGGGTCTTACTAAGTTGCTGAGGCTGGCCTCAAATTCCTGACCTTGTCAATGGGGATTTATGGGTAGACCACCATGCCCAGCTGATAATTTTCTTTAATGCACAAGTATTTAATTTTGGTTGTCATATTTACCTACTTTTTTGTTTGGTCACTTATTCTCTTAATGTCATATGAAAGAATACTTTACCTAACTCAAGTTTGCAAAGATTTCTCCTTGAGTTTCTTCTAGACTTTACTTTTGTTCCTAAGAGTTTATATGTTTAGCTCTTCTATTTAGGCCTTTGAGCCATTTTGAGTTAATTTGTGTGAAGTAGCAGAGTGTGGAGGCAAACTTCATTCTTTTGCACCTGGAGATTTACTTGGCCCTGCACAATTTGTTTGAAAAGACTATTCTTTCCCTGTTGCATTATCTTGGCACCCTAGTCAAAAAATATTTGATCAAAATGTGAGGGTTTATTTCAAGACTGAATTCTATTTTGTTGACGTATACACCTATCCTTTGCCAGTATTAAACAGTCCGGTTTACTGTAGGTTTGTAGTGTGTTTTGAAATCTGGAATATGAATCCTCCCATTTTATATTTCCTTTTCAACACTGTTTTGGCTCTCTTGAGTGCCTAGTATTTCTTCAGGTGCCTTGGAGATATTGTGGGCTCAGTTATGGTCTACTACAACAAAGCAAATATTACCATAAAATGAGTCACACATATTTTTTGGTTTTCCAGGTAAAAGTTATGCTTATACTGTATGGTAGTCTGTTAAGTGTACAATACCATTACATCTAGAAAAACATTGTACATGCTTTAATTAAAAAGTACTTCTTAATGGAATCACCATTTCACCCAGTTATCCCACTCCTCAGTATATATCCAAAGGAGTTAAAACCAGCATACTACAGTGACACAGCCACATCAATGTTTATAGTTGCACAATTCACAATATTAACCTATGGAGCCAACCTAGGTGCCCATCAACAGATGAATGGATAAAGAAATTGTGGTGTATATATACACAATGGAATATTACTCATCCCTAAAGAAATATGACTTTATGACATTTGCCAGTAAATGGGTTGATCTGGAGACTATCAGGCTAAGTGAAATAAGCCAATCCCAAAAGACCAAAGGGCAGATGTTTTCTCTGATATGTAGAAGCTAACCCACAATGGTGGGGGATGTGGTAGGGGGGCGGAGTAGGAGTTGTTTTGATTAGACAAAGGGGAATGAGGGAAGGGATCAGGGATAGGAATGGGAAAAACAACGGGAAGAATCTGACATAACTTTCCTGTGTACACATATGAATACCGCATAGTGAATCCCACCATGATGTACATTCACAAGACTGGGACCCTAATTAGAATAAGATATATTTCATGCATGTATAATTTTATCAAAATGGACTCTGCTGTCATGCATAACTAAAAAGAACCAATAAAAATAAACTACTTCTTTGTATTAAAAAAACCCTAATGATCACATAAGCCTTCAGCAACTCGTGGTCTTTTTTGCTGGTGGAGGGTCTTCTTTTAATATTGATGTCTTCTAACCAGTCAAGATGATGGGAGCAGAAGGTTAGGGCAGCTGTGCCAGTTTCTTAAGACAAGGAAATTTGCTGAATTGACTGACCCCTGATTTCACAAAAGATTTCTCTGAAGCATGCAGTGCTGTTTGATAGCATTTTACCCAGAGATAAGCAACTTTCAAAATTGGAGTCAGTCCTCTCATACCCTGGAACGGCTTTATCATCTAAGTTTATGTGACACTCAATCTTTGGTTATCATTTTCACAATGTTCCTAATCCTTGGTTATCATTTTCACAGTAGTCATAGCATCTTCACCAGGAATAGATTCCATCTCAGTAAACCAGTTTGTTTATCTGTTAGAAGCAACTTCTCATCCATAAAGTTTTATCATGAGATTGCAACAGTTCTGTCACATCATGAGGCTCCAGTTCTAAATCTAGTTCTCTTGCTATTTTTGCCACATCTGCGTTGCTTTTTCCACTTAAACTCCTCAAAGTGTCCATAAGGGTTGCAGTCAACTTCTTCCATACAGCTATTAATGCAATATTTTGAACTCCAATTAACCATGTTCTTAATGGCATCTAAAATGGTAACTCCTCTCCAGAAGGATTTCAATTTACTTTTACCTAGTTCCATCAGAGGAATCACCATCTGTGGCAGCTGTAGCCTTATGAAATGTATTTCTTTAATAATAGGGGTTGAAAGTTGAAATGTCTCCTTCTTATATGGGCTACAGAATGAATGCTGTGTTAGTGGGCATGAAAACAACAAAAGTCTCCTTTACACTTTTGTCAACATTCTCTAGTGAACAGGTGCAATGTTGATGAGCAGTAGTATTTTGAAAGAAATCTTTTTTTTATTTTTATTTTTTCTGAGCAATAGGTCTCAATAGTAGGCCTGAAATATTCAGTAATCCTCTTGTAAACAGTTGTGCTGTCACCAGGCTTTCTAATGCCATTTATAGAGCACAGGCAGAGTAGATTTAGTATAATTCTTTAGGGACCTAGGATTTTTGGAATGATAAGTGAGTATTGACCTCAACTTAAAGTCACTGGTTGCATTAGGCTCTAAAAAGAGACTCAACCTGTTCTCTGAAGCTCTGAAGCCAGGTACTGGCTCCTCCTCTTCTGCTATGAAAGTCATAAATGGCATCTTCCAGTATGAGACTGTTTTGTCTATGTTGACAATCTGGCCTGGCACTGTGGTGGCGCATATAACCCCAGCGACACTAGGCTAAGACAGGAGGATGACAGTTTAAAACCGGCCTCAGCAATTTAGTGAGCAACTTAGTGAGATCTTGTCTCAAAATAAAAAATAAAAAGGGCTGAGGCTGTGGCTCAGTGGGTTAAGTGTCCCTGGGTTCAATTCATAATACCAATAAAGAAGAAGAAGGAGAAGGAGAAAACAATCTGGTGTTTGTCATAGCTTTTGTAGTCAATTATTTTTGCTGGATCTTCTGCATAATTTGCTATGGTTTCTGCATCAGCACTTGCTGCTGCCCCTTGAACTTTTATGTTAAGGAGGTGGCTTCTTTCCTTAAACCTCAGGAACCATTTTCTGCCAGCTTCAAACTTCTTTTGCAGTTTCCTCACCTCTTTGAACTGTCATAGAATTGAAGCAGGTTAGGGCCTTGCAAAAAGCAGGTTTTGGGATGGGGGAGTTTTATGGCTGGTTTGTCTTCTATCGAGACCACTCAAGCATTTTCTGTAACAGCCATAAGGCTGAGTCACTTTCTTATTCCTGTGTTCACTGGAGTATTAATCTTAATTTCCTTTAAGAACTTGTTCTTTATGTTCGTAACTTGGCTAACTGGTACAAGAGGCCTACCTTTCAATCAGGTCAGCTTTCCATGTCTTCCTCACTAAAAAAGGCTTAATGATTTCTAGCTTTTGATTTAAAGTGAAAGAGCTGTGACTTTTCTTTTTACTTGAACAGTTCGAGGCCATTTTGGGGTTATTAATTGGCCTAATTTCAATACTCTTGTGTCTCATGGAGTTAGGGGACCTGAAGAAGAGAAGTGAGACAGGGAATAACTCATTAGTGGAGCAGTCAGAACTTACACAATATTTATCATTTCAGTTTGTTGTTTTATATTGGTACTATGGTTGGCATCCCCACACAATTGCCATCATTACATCAAAGATGTCCAAAACCAGATCACCACACCAAATATAAGTATAATGAAAAAGTTTGAAATTTTATAGAAATTACCAAAATGTGACACAGAGACACTATGTGCTTGACCCAGGGTTGCCACAAACCTTCAATTTGTAAGTAACAGTATCTGTGAAGCACAATAAAACAAAGCACAGTAAAATAAAGTTTCCCTGTATGAACTGTAGGATTATCCTGCCAATTTATGAGGCGAACGTGATAACCACTACACTACGGAAACACCTTATCCTGCCAATTTGTGAAAGAAAAAAAAAAAAGCCAGGCAGAATTTTTATAATGCCATTGAGTCTCTACGTTAATACGGGGAGTATTGCCTTCTTGCCTATATTAAGTGTTCTATTCTATAAATATGGGAATCTTTCCAGATCGTTAGGTCTTTAGTTTCTTTCAGTGATGTTTTGTAGTGATGTTTAGTGTAATGGTCTTATATTTCTTTACTTGAATTTATTCCTAAGTAGTTTATTATTTTTTGAATTGTTTTGTTGGTAGTGTATAGAAATGCAATTGATTTTGTATATTGTTTTTTTTTTTTTTTCTTTTTTGACCAGGGATTGAACTCAGGGGCACTCAACCACTGAGCCACATCCCCAGCCCTATTTTGTATTTTATTTAGAGACAGGGTCTCACTGAGTTGCTTAGTACCTTACTAAGTTGCTAAGGCTCGCTTTGAACTGGTGATCCTCTTGTCTCAGCCTTGAACCACTGGGATTACAGGCGTGCGCTACCACACCCAGCTGATATGTTTTAATAACACTTAGAAAGCTTTAAGAAAGTAGATAAACATCAAGTACTACTCTGCAGCTGTAACTGTTATGTAGAAAAGCTGTATATGTAATTTTAAAATGATATAAAATAAATATCTGAGATTGAAATGTAAGAGTTTTGATTTTTAGATTCTCATCCATTCATTTAGTTATACCCTTAGTTCATCAACTGAATCTTAATTAGTAAAAGTTAATATTTTATTTTTCCCTTTCACTTTTAGTGTTAAATGTTTACAAAAGACAGTGAAGGATTCTTACCACATAATGTGTAGACCATGTGCCTCTGAGCTTGAAGTTTGTGCAAAATGTGGAAAGAAAGAAGACATTGTTATTCCGTGAGTATTTCCTTTTACATTTAGATTTTATTCTTAGTAATTGATATATGAACTTTTGTTTTTTGGAGTAGGGGGGTTACTGGGGATTGAACTCGGGGACACTCAACCACTGAGACACATCCCCAGCCCTATTTTGTATTTTATTTAGAGACAGGGTCTCACTGAGTTGCTTAGCACCTCACTTTTTGCTGAGGCTGTCTTTGAACTCATGATCTTCCTGCCTTAGCCTCCTAAGCCACCAGGATTACCAGGGTGTGTCACTGCACCAGGCTAAATTTTCTTTTATTGAGACATTAAGTAACTATTGTCTGAAGTTACAACCTATCACACTAATGTAGACATTTTTCTACCTATAGGAAAAGAGTCACTATTTTGTTAAATTTTTCTATTATTACAATAAAAGGGACTCTTTGTTTTTAAGAAAATCAGATGTTTAGCTATGAGGTTCACATTTATTGAAAAAGAATTGCTCATTATGTAACAACTTTCCTTCAATGGATACCTTTTATTAATTTCTTAGAGCCTATTCTATTGCAACAGTATTATAATTAGTTGAATCCTAAGTTAGTTTTCAAGAACCTGTTCTCTGTACTTACTTTGTTAAGCTCCTTTAAGAAATGTAGTGGTGGTCCCCAGCACCACAAAAAAAGAAAAAGAAAGAAATGTAGTGGTGGGCTAGGGCTGCAGCTCAGTGTGGTAGAGTGCTTGCCTCACACATGTGAGGCACTGGATTCAATCCATAGCACCACATAAAGATAAAAAAATAAATGAATAAAGGTATTGTGTCCTTCTACAACTAAAACAGTATTTTTTTTAAAAAAAGGAAAGAAATGTAGTAGTAAAGGTCTCTTCAACTGAACTGCATGGTTGAGAAATAATTAGAATTTTTTTTCTTCTATCTTTAGGTTTAATAAAGATCCAGAAAAGACTGAAAATAATGAAAGTTACAAACATACAAGAAACTGCAAAAGCCATGAAGAAAGTGATGCTGATTTAGATTTTGATATTTATTTAGATGATACAGATAATAATCAAGTGGATTAATGACTCAAGTTAAAGAATGTGAAATTTTGACCAACTTTTGCCTTTGAGGGGCTCACAAAAAATATTGTGAAATCCTAATGAGGAAATAAGAAAAACTATAGAAAATACATAAAATATATGTAAGAAAAATATAAACTGTGTAAAATATTTGAATAATTATCAAACATTATAAAGCTTTCATCCAGAGTTTTTTATAACAAATTTTTTAGGTTATATAAATTAGAATAATATCTGCCAAAATACATATTGTGGTATCCTGTTGTAGGTCATGAGAATTATTTAAAAGAATATATTACCGGGGCTGGGGATGTGGCTCAAGCGGTAGCGCACTCGCCTGGCATGCACGCGGCCCGGGTTCGATCCTCAGCACCACATACAAACAAAGATGTCGTGTCCGCCGAAAACTAAAAAATAAATATTAAAAATTCTGTCTCTCTCTCTCACCTCTCTCTTAAAAAAAAAAAAAAGAAAAGAAATTCAAGAATGTATTACCTAAATATATAAATGTATTTGTTATCAAAATAAATGAGACTCAGAATTGGTGGTTATGTAAGAACTATCTCATGTAAAAATGATATTATTATAAATAATATTAAAAATCAGTAAACAGTCCTCTTCACAAATGCTCCCTTACTTTATTTTTTTATAATAATGTATAGCAATTTTCCTTTGAAAGCATTTTTATTTACCTCTTCACACTGTTGTACCTTTTTCCTCTTGAGAACTATATATCCAGGAAAAATGCATAAAATTTATATGTACAGTTTACTCAATAATTATAAAAGAGAGTTTTACACTTAGACCTGCATGAAGAAACTGCTGGGACCAGAAACTCCCCAAGAAGCTCTCCCTCATCATCACAAGTTCATCCTTCTTCCCAGAGTTGGCACTAACACTGAATTTTTGGGGGGGCAGCGGGAATGGGTTGCCAGGGATTGAACTCAGGGGCACTTGACCACTGAGCCACATCCCCAGCCCTATTTTGTGTTTAATTAGAAACAGGGTCTCAGTGAACTGCTTAGCGCCTCACTAAATTGCTGAGGCTGGCTTCAAACTCATGATCCTCGTTCCTCAGCCTCCCAAGCTGCTGTGATTACAGGCGTGCGCCACCACGTCCATCTCTAACCTGAATTTTGATAATTATTTCCTTTGTCATTTTACTACTACTAAACAATATAAATTCACTTTGTCTGATTCTTAAACTTTCCTATCTTTTTATTTTGAAACATTTCAAACCTACAGAAAGGTAGCAAAGTAGTACAGTGAACCTTTATATAGTCTTCACATAGATTTCAAATGTTAGAATTTTACCATGTTTTCTTTATAGCTCCATAAGTGGACATATATTTATTTTTAATTTATAAAACCATTTGAAAATCAGTGCTAAGTAAGGATTTGATTTTGAACTGTATGTGAATAGACTTGCAGTATGCATACTATTTTGCATCTCTTTTTTCATTTTTATAAAGTTTGGGAGATTGACTCATGTTGTTACAAAAGTTCATTTTATATTATTCTATGGAATTACATAACATAGTTTCTTTATCTTTTCTAATGTTAAGACATTTGAGTTAATTCACATTTTTCCTGTTGTAAGCAATATTGGTATAAACACTGTTATATGTGTCTCTTGGTACATATGTGCATTTCTGTTAGGTATATATATCAATAAAAGAAATCAGGTGTATGCAAAAAGAAATCAGGTGTGTGCATCTTCAATTTTCCTATATAGCATGAAACTTTTTCCAGAGGTATAGTTATCCTCCCTTCACTCAGCAACATATTACCGATTCTGTGCTCTGCATCCTTTCTGATGCTTAGTATCAAAATTTTAAATTTATGCCAATTTGATATGTGTACAACAGTATCTCCTTGTGTTATTGTTAATTTGTATTTCCAGAATTACTAGTAACCCAGATCCCCTTTTTATGTTTACTAGTAATTTTTTTCCTAGTAGATAATGCTAAGAAATAACTTTGTTAAGTATAATAATGTTATTTTTAAAAAGGTATACTGAATTAGGGTATAATGTCAATTTACCTTATTTTGTTGTAAAGAAAGTAAATATACAGATAACATCTCGGTTGCGTCAAAAAATGTTACCTAGGAATAAATAAAAAGTCCTCAAGAACTGTCAACCAAAATATAAAATCTTATCAAGATATTAAATAGGGGCTGGCGATGTGGCTCAAGCGGTAGCGCTCTCGCCTGGCATGCGTGCGACCTGGGTTCAATCCTCAGCACCACATACAAACTACGATGTTGTATCCGCCAAAAACTAAAAAATAAAATATTTTTTAAAAAAAAAAAGATATTAAATAAAGAGGAGCTGGGGTTGTGACTCAGCGGTAGAGCACCCACCTAGCATGGGCAAGGCACTGGGTTCGAGCCCCAGCACCATATAAAAATAAATAAATAAAGATTGTGTTCAATTACAACTAAAAGAAAAAAGATTTTGAAGAAAACATAGACAAAAATAAATGAAGCTCAGGAGGCTAAGGCAGGAGGATCATGAGTTCCAAGTTCAGCCTCAAGGTCAGCATCAGCAACTATGAAAAGGGTAGGGGATGTGGCTCAATGGTTATACATCCCTGGATTCAATTCCTGTACAAAATAAATAAATAGAAATACCATGTTCATGATTTAGATATCTCAATATTCTAAGCTTCTAGTCTCACAAAAGTTTCTATTAACTTGTGTGGCTTTCCTTTTTATATAAATTTATTTTGGTATCTGTATATTTTCGTCCCTTTTTATATATAGATTTATTTAACTTTTGTGATTAAAGAGCCAACGAACTTATGATTCGATTAGCATAAATTCTTTCCCATGTGAATGCTTGTAATTCCTCAGAGCATCACCTAGTAACATATATTAATAGCTGCATTTTATTCTTTAATAGTAAGAAAATTTGTTGTGTTTTGTTCCCTTTGTTTTATTCCCCTGGTACTAGAAATTGAACCCAGGGGCACTTAACCACTGAGACAAACCCCAAGCCTTTTTTTTTTTTTTTAATTTTGAGGCGTTACCTCGCTAAATTGATTACAGCCTTGCTTGGTTGCTGAAGCTGGCCTTGAACTTTCCATCTCCCTGCCTCAGCCTCCTGCTCCTGGGATTGCGTGTTTGCCCCATCACACCTGGCTTTTGCTTTGTTTTGTAAACAGACTTTGTTATATTAACTTCCTTTATATTTCTTTAAGAATTATTCTAACCTCAAAACTGTTTTTTTTTTTTTTTTTTGGAACTCAGCACATAGAAACAAAATGAAGACCTTGTTTTATTTTAACATAATGAATCAGTTTAATATAGTGAATTAGCTTATCCCTCCTTAATATTTTAGCATCACATATTCTAAAATATTACAGTACTTTATTACAGAAGTTCTGAATTCTCATCATTAAATTCATATGATGAGCTTTTAATAAAAATCTTATTCCTGGGATATTGTGATTCCTTTGTCTGAATTATAGCCCCATATTTTCCCTCCAAATCTTTAGGTGATTCTGATCATCAGCTACTGCATGCAATTGGCTGCATGTGCCAAAAAGCCATTTTCATCCCATCTGCTGCTTTTTAGCTACCATAATACCATACTCTATTGTCATGTTCTCTCTTAGCTTCTCTTGTAACTGGTGCTAGCCAGCTCCACTGGGAGATTCTAGGAAAGATTAGTCTTACTGGCAAAAAGAAAACGTTTTTTCTACCATGTTCTTCCTGCCTAAATGTGGTTGTGAGAAGACATGATGTCTAGAACTTGTATCCCTAAAGAGGAAGTTGAGCTGCAGAGACAGCAGTCCAGAGCCCTGATGTTTTTAAGCTGCTGACATAATGAATCCTTGTGAATTCTTGTAAATAAGTGCCTATTTGTATAAGCTGTTACTAATCAGAAATCTGTTATTGGCAGTAAAATGAATTCCAGCTGATAACACAGCAAATTTGGTAAGCCTTGTTTTATAGAACCCATTGTGTGCTATGACAACTAGGTTAGTTAATATATCAAAAAAAAAATTTCATTGTTTACCTTTGCTCTGTACAACAATTCTGATTAAATCACAACTAATCACATAGTAGCAATAATTAGAATATCAAATATATAGTATTCATAGATTCTAAGCATCTTGCATCTATCAACACATTTAATGCTCCTACCAACTTCATGGAAACAAAGCACAGAAAGATGAATTTCTACCAAGTCATATAGCTGAAGTGATAGAACCAGGATTCAGAATCATGTTCACTGGTTTCAGAGTCTACTTTTTTTCCTCCCCCCCAGGGGAGGGTACCAGGGATTAAACTCAGGGGGCTCCACCAGTGAGCCACATCCCCATCTCTATTTTGCATTTTATTTACAGACAGGGTCTCACTGAGTTGTTTAGTGCCTCGCTTTGCTGAGGCTGTCTTTGAACTCACAATCCTCCTGCCTCAGTCTCCTGAGCTGCAGAGTCTGCTTTTCAACTACTGCATTGTACAACTCCTTTGTCATATGCCAGACTTTTTTCTTTTTCTTTTTTCTTTCTTTTTTTTTTGAGAAAGGTCTGGGTTAGCATATTTTAAGACTTCATAATTTTTATTTAAATTTTTCACTCAAGAGCACTACCTGCTTCTACAGAAGCCGGACCAATTTTTATTTTGGAGATACACACCTGTAGATTTTGAAGAACTTACTGATAGAAGAGCAGTCCTGGGTGGAAATAAGACCAAATGTTCCCCACAATTTGGGTCAGAAGGAGGGATCTATCTATTGGTTGAGACAAAAGTGACTTTAATCTAAAATGTACCCTGCTTAACTTACACTGATACCAAAGAGAAGGAGGCATTGCTGGAGCCCGAGTCCTGTTGCCCAGCTCTGCACAGATCTGACTGTCTATCTAGAATTTGCTAGACACACTGCATTCCCATGAGAGCACTCTGTCATTCCCCAATGTGTATCGCTACTCTTTACTCAACTCCAGGACCCTCAGAGACCAGGTGCCCTCAGAGACCCTAGCCAAAGATTTCACTCCAGACACCGGATAGGCCAGCCTAAATGCCAAAGACTTTTCTAAAGGTAGAGCATATTAGACTGCATGGCATGATAGGTTATTTGGTGACTAAAATTTCTGTAATAATAATACAATAATATCTAATATTAATAGATAATCATTGAAGTGTGTGCATGGCACCGTTGAAGATAGTAGGGATACAACAGTGAACAAAACAAAGATCTCTGTCCTTGCAGAGATAACATTTGGATGGAGATAGACATTAAATAAAGTAAGCAGGTTATGTGTTAGTAGGTGAAAAGGGCTATGGGAAAAGTGAGTCATAGAGGGTGATTGGGAGCCTGAGGGTGTGATGGACCAGGGTTGAGGTGCACGAGTGGGTGGGGGATGGGATGTGCTTTTAAATTTAGGCCTCAGTGAAAAAGCATCATTTGTACAAAATCTTCAAAAGATGGGAAGAATGTTCCAGGCAGAGGAAACGATGGCTGCAAGAGTTCTAAAGGAAGACTGTGGTTGATGTGTTCAAGGAAGGGAGTGATTAAGTTAGTCCCAAGAGATTAAGTCAGAAGTGATGGAAGGCCACACCATGGAAGCCTGCTTTTAAAAGACTTTTTTTTTTTCCTTTGTATTTGGTTTTCAGCCATTTGAATGATTCCTAAGTATTTGTCCTATGTAAGGTTTTCCTTTTAATATTTTTTTTTTAGTTATCAATGGACCTTTATCTTTTTATTTACTTATATGTGGTGCTGAGGATCGAACCCAGTGCCTCACACATTCCAGGCAAGTGCGTTACCGCTAAGCCACAGCCTTAGCCCGGTTTTCTTAGTTTCTGAAATCTGTTGGTGAATGTCTTTAATGTGGCTCAATAGCAGAGCACTTGTCTCGAATATGTGAGGCACTGGGTTCAACCCTCAGCACCATGTATAGATAAATAAAATAAAGGTATTGTGTCCACTATAATTAAATATATATATATATTAAAGACTTAAAAAATTGTCAACTATTGTTTCTCCAAAGTCTGTTGTTTCTATTCTTTCCCCTTCTGAGACTTCAGTTACACATACTGGTAGACCTTTTTGCTTGTCTCCAGTGTCTGTCTTCCCTGCTTTCTTTTGTGCATTCATTTTCTCTTCTCTGGGCTGTAGCTAGTATATTTTCTATTTGCCATTTTTGCGTTCATGAATCTTATCTTCTAGAGAAATAGAATTAATGTGTACAATTTACTTTCAAACCTATGTGATAAGTTCTTAATATCAGACACTGAATTGTATAGTTCTAAAGTGTGCAAGGGGCGGGGGTGGGGGGCTACTGGGGATTGAACCCAGGCACTTTACCACTGAGCCATGTCCCTGGACCTTTTTACTTTTTTTATGTTGAAGCATGGTTCCACTAAGTTGCTTAGGGTCTTGCTGTGTTGCCAAGGATGACCTTGAACTTGTGATCCTCCTGCTTCAGCCTCCTTAGTCATTGGGATTACAGGGCTGAACCACTGTGCCCAGCAGTCTGTCTGTTTTTGTTTTTTTAATAGCTTTATAATTGAAATATTTCATCTTTGCCTATTTTCTCTCTTTTCTTTGACATATCAGTCCTAGTTAACTTGAGAACTACTATGGCTTGGATGTGCCTTGAGTGTATCACCCAAAGGTTTATGTGCTGGAAACTTGGTCTACATTGTAGTGTTGTTAAAGTGGCAGAATCTTTAAAAGGTAGGACCCAG